TATTATATTTGTATTTCTTTTTATTGTAAATCATTCAGAGTAGAACCTGGTACTAACTGCGCAGTATGCAAATATATGAAATAAATTAATATATAAACAAGCAAGCAAATAGATTCCCATCTATAACATGGAGACAAGAAATCATGCTTGTGGCACTGAACAGCTCATTCTCCACCATCTGTAAATTACACGGTTCTTAATTGCCTAAAGAGCCCCACATTCTTGGTGCTTTCAAAAGGATTTTCCAGCATTTAAGTTTTAAAAATAAGCAATGTTCTAATTTACTCACCTGTCTTGGGTTAACGGCAGGACAATCTTTGGTTTCATGGAAAATACGATGAAGGATACTCTCATCCGAGGGCTTTCAAAAAGAAAACATCTGTGTCAGGCATATAAATCACTAACGCTGCACCCACATGCATTTTGAATGGATATGTGCCAGAACTGGAGTCTCAGGATCTTGACCTTTACGACAGAAGCTGAACAAACACAAATCCCACACAGGAAATATCTAGTATCCAGCATGTAAATTCAGCAGCTCTGTACTTCCGCTGACACACAACACTCTCCTGTGGGTAAAATCTTTAAAAGAATGAATGTGTTTGTTTGGGTTTACTTCTGCTACCGGTCAGACCACTGACCTATAAATAAGCAGTACTGGCTACTCTCACGAGCAAAATTCATCCCTATTAGGAGGTCATCCCACAGGGACTCTGAACATCACTCTTACGGTATTATTCAAAAGAGGGACCTGCAAGGAGACCAGGGGAGGCCACCGGAGTAGAGGTTCCTGTCATATCAGACACTCTCTAAAACCAAATCATGTCAGCTTGTCCCTCCATGACCGACATCCTATTGCATTTGGCACAGCATAATGTTAATGCCAGCAGAAGTTACAACCAAAAAGTTCACATTGCATGCCTGCTTGCACAACTGCCTGTGCAACTAGTTGTGCAACTCTGCCTGCAACAACGGTTACAGTATACAACTTTCACCTTAGCACAAATTTTGTAGTGGCATGTACATCTCTGAGTTCTGCAGGTGTAGCTATGCAACAGGATTCTGACCTATGTTTAAACATGGATTTATGTGACTGGCAGTGGAAGTTTTGCAAAAAAAATAGGGGAGAAAGACTTCTGTCTCAATTTGCATGGTCTTTCTCAAGCGTTTTCTACAATACATTCCTGCTTTGTCTGTTTTAAGCTGGACAGTGTTCTTACCAAGTATCCCCTCCCCAGCTTTCCTAATTTCCTAATTCTACGGCTAAGGAATCCCATCCTGATAAGAAGTGCAAAGGAGTTCTTTAATTTTATTTAATGCCCACTACAAATTTCAGGCATTTAAAAAAGGAATGAAATGTGTGCTGTGTTGTTAACTGCAGCCCTACGTGTCTCAGACTCAGCAAAATGGGAAACAGATGCACAACTCATACCGGAATGATCTAATTCTTATAATAAAACCTGCTCTGCGTTTTCACCATATGCTGTGCTGAACAGCTTTTGTCAACCATTAAGCCATCCTCCTTCTTTTAAGAAGAAGAAGAAGAAAGGGGGGAAGGGAAAGAAATCTTAATAAGCTGTTGAGAACTGGTGATCAAAAGATTTAGCTCGCTCGCTTTTACTTCAGCCAATTCAATGACCCAAAAAATGGGGGGAGGGAGGAAAGAATTGGAAGGGTGGCGTTTCTTGGCTGAAATAAAGGATGACCGAAAGGCTTCTGAATGGCCAGTCAGATAATTCTTTTGGAAGAGGTAAATACCTCTTCTGCCAGTAACTGAAAATCTGGAACTTGGCCTCAAACTGATTGGAATCTTTTTTTTATTAGCTTACATTGTTGGAGGGAAAGGGTTCAACTGGATTGCTCTCTTGGTTCTACAGAAATCGGTTTTTTTCTGACTTAGGAAGACAGATGCAGTTCGGCCTGCCTTGTTCACATGACTTCTCAACAGCTGGTCAAGCTCACAATTGCCCACTGTATTACATTTTCCATAGGAAGCAATTAACTGCAATAATCTACTTCCTCCTGTGTTCCCAGTGTCGTGCCTTTTTAAGCAGGGCCTAGCACAGTCTATGCTAAACAGACAAGCAAGCAGACAGAGATTAATCTGACTTCTGCTCATGTTTGAGAAGAGCAAAAGGAGGCTTCAAATTTTGTATATATTTGGTTGGAATACATCATTTCTGCTAGGAATAAAGTAAGGAGTTTTGCTACTCAGAACACTGAAAGCCTCGATATTCAGATACATCCTCAGGCACCATCTGCAAATTTGCAAAGTCATATTTGTAACCATAAGGCTGAGAAAAGACATTTTATTTGATTTTTTTTCTTTTACAAAGTCAAGAATAAAACCTGCAGAATTCTGTAACAGGCATATATTGGCCAGCGTGCAATGCTACTGGATATGCATGGATACATATCTTGCCTTCAATATGCAATTAGACGTGCTAGGTAACACCATCTGCAAATTTGCAAAGTCATATTTGTAACCATAAGGCTGAGAAAAGACATTTTATTTGATTTTTTTTCTTTTACAAAGTCAAGAATAAAACCTGCAGAATTCTGTAACAGGCATATATTGGCCAGCGTGCAATGCTACTGGATATGCATGGATACATATCTTGCCTTCAATATGCAATTAGACGTGCTAGGTAACGATAAAGGTTGCTACTGGATATGCATGGATACATATCTTCCCTTCAATATGCAATTAGATGTGCTAGGTAAAGATAAAGGTTCCCCTTGACATTTAGTCCAGTCGTGTCCGACTCTAGGGCACGGTGCTCATCCCCGTCTCCGAGCCGTAGAGCCAGCGTTTGTCCGTAGACAGTTTACGTGGTCACATGGCTAGCGTGACTAGACACGGAATGCCGTTACCTTCCCACCAAGGAGGTACCTATTTATCTACTTGCATTTACATGCTTTCAAACTGCTAGGTTGGCAAGAGCTGGGACGAGCAACAGGACCTCACTCTTCGCATGGATTTGATCTTATGACTGCTTGTCTTCTAACCCGCCGCGCCACCGCATCCCAGCTAAATTAGACGTGCCAAAATGAAAGACGCCACACAATATGAATACTCGGGTTTAATCCGCAGCGCCACCACATCCCAGCTAAATTAGACGTGCTAGAAACTGCCAAAATGAAAGACCCCACACAATATGAATTCTCAAGAATATTTGTGTGATTTTAACTCCTTTGTCCACATTGTTCCATTATGTTATGCTATGCTACACGCTAAATTAGACGTGCTAGAAACTGCCAAAATGAAAGACCCCACACAATATGAATTCTCAAGAATATTTGTGTGATTTTAACTCCTTTGTCCACATTGTTCCATTATGTTATGTTATGCTACACTTGCTACCAACATGAATTTGACCAAACTCCGGAAGGCAGTGGAAGACAGGAGGTCCTGGCGTGCTGTGGTTCATGGGGTAGGTGCAGTGGAAGACAGGAGGTCTTGGCATGCTGTGGTTCATGGGGTAACGAAGAGCCGGACATGACTAAACAACTAAACAACAACAACAACAACATGCTACACTTGCCCCAACACCTTACCAAACTGTGAAGAGCACTTCCCTCTACAAGTAGGTTTAACTGCAAGTGAGCCTTGTTGGGATAAATTCCATCTATCCATGTGTCAGTGGAAGACAGGAGGTCTTGGCATGCTGTGGTTCATGGGGTAACGAAGAGCCGGACATGACTAAACAACTAAACAACAACAACAACAACATGCTACACTTGCCCCAACACCTTACCAAACTGTGAAGAGCACTTCCCTCTACAAGTAGGTTTAACTGCAAGTGAGCCTTGTTGGGATAAATTCCATCTATCCATGTGTTTCCAGCAGACATGCAATGGCAATGGTCCTGTTGGTTAAGTTACACTTGCATAAAAGATCCATAAGGGCCCCTTCTAGCTCTACTATTCTAAGAAGATACCGGCAATGACACATAACAGCATACATCACAGTACCAAAGCACCACAACTTAAGAAATCACAGATTGTAGCCTCATCACATGAGTTCATGCACAATGAATACAAGCAACAACCCGTTAATGTCAGCAACTTTCTGCTGCAATTAACAGTCATGAATGAGTTTATGACTAATAGGATTCTGGCCATTTATTTGCTCAGACCAAAGGCTACTTGAGATGTGATGAAAGTGAGGCACAGAAAGGCACAACTTTGTGACATGAAGCACAGCTCACTTACATGCTTCCTTCCCGGATTCTGGCCATTTATTTGCTCAGACCAAAAGCCATTTGAGATGTGATGAAAGGTGAGGCACAGAAAGGCACAACTGTGCGACATGAAGCACAGCTTACTTACATGCTTCTTTTCCCATAGTTGCCTTGAACGTTCCACTTGGTGGGATTAGAAAGGGTTAAATAAAACTAGTGAACAAAATGGGAGAACTCTTTATTTCCTAAGCCGCAATCAACCAGCTCCCTTATTATATGGTAGTTGCACAAAGGCTCTTTGTATAGCCACAGTTCAGGGATTCAGACCAGTTCAGCGTAGCACCTGTACGAGTGTTCTGCTGCCACTACACACTCCCTTTTCCCACTTCCTCTACACGCTCACCCACTCCCCACCCAGAACACACTCCCCTCCCCGCCTCCTCAGTGTAACTGCCCACTCACTCATTGCAGTGCACGTTTCCCTTCTCCACCTCCTCCAGTGACCGCCCATTCAAAGGCAGCACCGCGGGCTTCCCTGCCCCACCTCCTCATTTGAGTGGGTAACTGCTGGAAAAATCAGTGGAGGGAAGCCCACACTACAATTGGTGAGTGGGCAGTCATGCTGAGGAGGCAGGGAGCAAAGTGTGCTTCACCCTGGAAATGGGCGAGCACACAGAGAGGCTGGGAGAGGAAAGCGCACAGTGCCTGCTAAATACCTTTGCAGGTGTCATGCCGTACTAGGCCAAAGCACCAAATGATGTGGTTCATGACCATCTCTAGACACAAATATACCATAATTATTATAATGTCATGCCGTACTAGGCCAAAGCACCAAAAGGTTCATGACCATCTCTAGCCACAAATATACCATAATTATTATAGCAACCAGTTCATGTGCATACTTGCTTAGCGACTACAGGAATTTGAGAATGGAAAGCCTGACTGAATTCAAGTTTTCAAAACATGTGGGACAAAAAGAGGTGGGTATCACCACCTTTTGCCTCATACAAATCACTATGGTAAAGAAAATTTACAGCTGCCCATAGTGGAAACTAGAAATGAGTACGAATTGATTCAGCCCACGTTGTAAAAATCCATCAGTGCGACACTACAGGTGCTGTGTGTTCCTTCCCTTTCCCCCCCCCCAGGTTGGCTGGCTCACTCACCAACTGGCACACGCTGTCCAGGTCATTCTCCTGCAGTGGCTGTCCAATCCGGCCAGGAGCTTGAGCTTCCTTTTCCCACCTTCTGAGGCAACTGACCAACCAATGGCTGTGCACTGAGGATCCCTTTTCCTCCTCCTCATCTGAGTGGTCAGCTGCCAGAGGAGGCAGGGAACAGAAGCCCAAGCTCCTGGTCGGACTGGACAGCTGCTGCAGGAGGATAACCCAGCCAGTGTGCATCAGCTTGTGAGTGGAGGGGGAGAGAACATGCTGCACCTGCGGTGTTGTGCAGATGGATTTTTATGCAATAGGCCAAACTGATTCATGCCCATCTCTAGTGGAAACATAATTCAGGGTCAGACACACTTTGGTCTTATTCATAATGATTACCTATAGACACATTAACAGTAAATAATGAAGCAAAGGCAACAGCAAATATTGGAGTGTCAAAAAGTTCCCTTTTTTAAAGCCAGATCCATAAGACACATGTGATCCAATAAACCAAACCTGACCGAAAAACAAATTTATAATCAGAAAAATCAGAAGAAATATACATACTAAGCAATACATTGCATTCTAATTATGTGTTGGAGAATTTGACGCTCTCATAGAACGGTATTATAAGAACCGAGCTATATTTCTAACTCCTCCATGAACTGTTTGCAAGTGGAGATTAGGGTCTGTTTGGCAGTTTTTCCCCTCAGAGTTAATCCTGGTAAAAAAAGAAACTCACCTCACAAATCGGTCTGTCAGCTGTTTCACAAAGTCAACAATTTCAAACCAATGGTCTGTGACACTACCAGACCTGCAGAGAAAAACAGCAGCAAACGTGTGACAGTCGAAGGAAGCAAATGTAGATTATCTAAAACAGTCACAATACTCCTGGGAAATTTATCTTTCTCCCTTTCCATTCTTTTCAAATGCATTCAGTTTCAAAAACATTAGTTTTCTTCTACCAGTGTATATCAATTTCATAGGTGGCTCTTGGGCTGGGAGGGGTGTGTGTGCCTAGCCCATATTTTAAGGGTTGCCTCCAGCTCTAATCACAAGTCACACACCCCAAAATCCAAATAATATCAAAAGTAAAGTAACAACAGTAACTGTCTTAACAAATTATGTGCTAGAATAAAGACTTCTCCCTTATTCAGGTTTTATTTTATTTTACTTTTTTTTAAAAAAAAAATCCTTTCTAAAGGTGAATGAAGAATTGAAATGCCAACTTAAAGGTGGGGAGATCATTCCCCAGCCTTGAAGATGATGCTTCTGACAGTCTACAGTTGGATCATAAATTTTTCCAATGTATCATTCTAATACTATATGATCACGGCCATGTCATCCTAATACAGATTATTGTTTAGATTCTTTAATGTGTTTAATTGATGTATCCGTCAATAACATGTATTCAACAAAGAGTGTATGTGCCTCTCTGGAGCATATTTATATGACCACTGGATTTCTGGGGTGGCAGCCACATGCACATATCCTGACAGAATTTGACACTTAACATTGTTTTCGAAGTATGCTGTGTTTCCCTTTGGAGAGTACACCTCTGTTTGAGAAAATATGGTGCCGGTGGAAGTGTTTCATTAAGAAGGATTTCACTTATGGTAATTATGCTTCCCTTTGGAGATCCTTTCAAGAAGTCCCATCTTTGGTACCAAAGAGATCCAAGAGTAGGAAGGAGCTGAATTAATATACTCCCATATCAAGTTCTCTATGTGCTGCATAAAAACATAATCCCACAACAACCCACAAAACCTTTTTTTCTCTCTTTATTGACCACATACTTGAATGGCCAACACCACAGACCACCAAGGCACCTTGCCAGCCAACCATATTTCATGCCCATTCACCAAAGGCTCTCTGAGAAGAGACACATACAGTAAGGTAATACAGAGTTGACAACAGCAGTTTTTTAAATCACTTATCACTTACCTTCTTCAGCAACATGAATACTAACAGCACACAATGAGCAACTTTCAAATTCTGGGTATATCTATATTGCAACTTCATACTAGCTTTATACCACAACCACATGAAATGGGCAGGGGATCCTGGGCTTCACTGTTTGGTGGGGGTCTTAAGAAACAGGCACGAACTTCAGTTCAGAGGTTCGTGTAGGTTCATACGCACGGCACCTTCCCTTCCTCTGCCTCCCCAGGCAATGGTCCACTCACCGGTCACAGCGTGCTCCTCTCCTCTTCCTCTTCAGCTCTTTGACCAATCCCCAGCAGGAACACAGGTTTGCCTGTCCTGCCTCCTTGTCTGAGTGGCCAATCAGCATTGGAGGTGGGGCAGGAAAGCCTGTTCTCCTGCCTTAGACTGGATGAAGAGCTGAAGTAGAGGAAGAAAGGAGCATCTCCAACTAGTGAGTGAGGGATTCAGCAAGGGAGGCAGGGAAATGGGAACTCATGGCATTTGTGGTGCCACACATACGAACCACCACAAACCTCTGAACTTGGTTTCATGCCATCTCTGTTCTCTGATAGAAATCTGCAGATAACTCTCTTGAGTTACAGGAGTAGAGCTTTCTATGGAGACCTTTAAGAATCTCAACAAACCACAAATCCCAGTATTCAGCATGGAGCCTTTTTTGACTAGGCATCCTTCAGTCTCAAGAGACTATGGTATCATGCTCCGTATGGAAGACTTGGAACAGCATCTAGTGTGGCTGAGAAGGCCAATTCGAGAGTGACAATCCCTTACACACTGAAGACAAATCCAATCTGTCCAGCTCCCTGATTTTGCTGCTTTCGGGACAGCCTCTTTGCCTCGGCCTGCTGGACAAGGATCTCTTCAAATTGGGAGACTAATTGGAGACAGCATGGAGCCTAAAGCGTTATTAAACTGTCATAACTGGGTAATAGAGGTCAACAGAAACTTAGCAAGTTTCCCTTGGTAAGAGCTTCAGTGATGGTGGGTACTGTTCATTTGCAAACAAGCTTCCTCTCTCTATTTGAGGCCTTCCTAAAATGTAGCAGCTGGAGGGAGAATGTCTGGAGCTTTCTAACACAGGGCAACCACGTGCCCTAAAAAATCCAGCCAATACTTGTTTGAACTGATTGCACAGTTTGGATTGCTGGAACATGTCCTAGAAACTTTGTAAGGTTCTAATAAGCACACACCCTTAAACAAACATGTAGACTCCACAATAAACTTATTTCGGTGGAAAGTTTCTAAAGAAGTGGTTGTCAAACTGGGGTCTCCTGATGTTTTTGGATTGCAATTCCCAGAAGCCTTCATCACTAGCTGTGCTGGCCAGGATTTCTGGGAGTTACAGTCCAAGAACATCTGGGGATTCAAAGTTTGAGAACCACTGCTCTAAAGCAGCCCTCCCCCTGGCACCATGCATTTGGGTTTGATAATAACCCTCACCATCTCCAGCCTGCCTGGGGATCATGGGATATGGAGTTGGAATCCAAACTATATAGAGGATGTGGAAGACAGTTCTAAAATGTTCTGTTTTTCAAACTCTGCCCTAACAGTCTAGTACTAAACTGTGTCCCAATGTGATTCAGATTGCCACTTTTAACAATGAATTGATCTGCTGGAGCATGTGAAAAGTCTCAGCCCCCAGGCCCAGACCTTCTAAGAACTCAAATGGAGGAGGACAGTTCAAGTTAAGGAATAGAAAAGTATAAGAATGTCTTGTTTGTGTGTCTGTGTGCACACACACACAAAAAAAATAGATGATCATCTCTAAATACAAAATTGTAAATAAATTGGCTCTGAGGAACTAACCCTATAAACTCTATGACTAGGCTCTGACATAAGTGGAAAAGTTAACATTATTCTCCATTGTCACTCAGGAGTTCAGCCAGAAAAGTAATAATATTTACGCCTTGTAAGCAAAAGAGGACTCGTGGTAAAGAAGGATGCTGGCATCTTTGCATTAAGCAGGAAAACCAGGTCCCCTCCAGAGAGTTTCATGAAACTCGACTGTGCAGAATCAAAACAAAATCCACAACAGGCAGAGAGATGCACAGCCACAAAAAGCAAGCACAGTTATGCGTTCAGATGACATGGAAATAAAACAGACCTCTGGTCGGTTTTAAGTAATCAAAGTTTCTGGCCTTTTGCCAGTCAGCAGAGCTATGACAGCATAACCCCTAAGAGCTCAATTGCAGGAGGACTAATCGGTTAGGGAGCCGGGGGAAAAAACTCACAAGGCCATTTCCTCGCTGTCCTCCAAGCAGCTGCTTGTCCAAGAAAGGAGCCACATGCACAGGAGCTGAAGATATAATCAGAAGGACCTAAGCCTAGCTAGAGTGCCCAATCAAACCTAAATAGTTTTTCACTCTACCCTTGCAAACCTTCAGGTTCTAGCAAAACTGCTGACCCATCATTCTTATAGATGTTTGGTGCCGTTTCGGCTACATAAGGATCCATGATTGGCCTAAAGGAGTCTCCTAAAACCCAAGGTATTGCAAGACAAAGACAGTCTATAAAAGAATAATCCAACAGCATTCTAACCAGCCTGTAGCAAGTAAGTGAGAGATCCAAAGATATATAACTTTTTAAACTGTAGGAAGATCGGCTTCCTTACTCCTCTCCCCAGCTTGCCCCACAGGCCCCGAAGAAGCACAATGATGTATGCTATCCTGTTGAAATAAATTCAACTGCCAGCCAGGCCTGTTCCTCTACCTAGGATGCCACCTTGACCTTTGCTTTGAGCAGCAAAATTAGCCCTACTCAGGCTGTTGATGGGCCTGCTTAAAAAAAAAAATCTGCAAAGGCTGAGTGGCTTTGCCAGACTTATTTGCAAGGTTGAACCCAAGGCGAACAAACTGGAAGCTCAATTCAGAAAAACAAAGAGATGCTACAGGTGGGTGGCCGATCCGACCAGAGAGGTGATGTTCAGCATGTCGTAGTCCTGAAGGCAGAGACTTGAGCAAGCAATGACTGTACCATGAAGCAATTTCCACCAACTTCACTTCTTCTTCCAGCTGTACCCACTCCAGCTTTGACAAGGCAGAACTCTGCCCGTTTTCTGTGCCCTGACCACATCTAAGCTCAACTCCCACAATGCACCACATGGATGTGTCTCTAGAAAAACCTGGGGAACACCAAGTGATTCCAAAGAGGGCAGCTGGAACCCACAAGACAACAGTATTTAAAGCTAAAAGTTAGATGCGTCCCAGATGTAATTCAAGAGGCTGCTTTTAACATACCAAGATCTAAACACCTTTCTACCCTATAAACATAATGGGCCTTAGGATCATTCTTGGGGGTCCTATTTTGGGTGTCCCTGCCTTGAATGGTTAGAAGGATGATAACCGGGTGCAGGATCTTTTCTAAGGTGGCGCTTCTGATTACCCGTCCCAGAAAATATCTGGATGGGGCTTACCCCAATCTCTTTGGGAAGTGGTTTGATTATGGCTACTATCTTACTGCCACTGTCATGTCTTTTGGATGTTTGTACGGCCGGCCGTAGAAGGAGAAAAGCGGGGGTAAAAATGTTTTAAATAAATAAGTAAAATTAAATGGTTACTGTTCTTCATGGTTTCGCAAGACTGTTGCAAAGTCTTCCCCAACAAATGTTTAAAATGCCGTATCAGCAATCAACCCTTTCCAAACAAAAATTCCTCATTGTTAGTCTTAACTATTTGGGTATCAAACTCTCCTGCTTTGGTCTGTGTCAGAAACACTGGGGAGGGAGAAGCCTGGTGGGCTTCATATGCAGCGTTTTGGCCCTTCCCTCTGCTGGCCTTAATCCCTCAAAGCTCTTGGGCTTCTCCCAGTCCGACACTCGCGCCTAACAACACCCACGGCTAGAAAGGCCTCACCCAAAAAGGGCACCTCTGGGCATGCACAAAGGGCATTCCTTCCACTAAAGCTCAACACGAGGAGGCTGAGCCCCGCGCGACCTCTCCTCGGTTTCTTTGCAAGGCGCACAGACATCCGACCAAAGGGCCTGGGGGGGGGGGACCCGGACCCCGAAAGTTTGGAAGCCGTGGCGGAGGCTTGGGGACGGGGGAGAGCAGGATCCGAGCTCTTCCCTTCCCTTCCCTCCTCCCCCCCCCCACCACTCACTTGTCCAGCACGAAGTAGAGATCGAAGGCTCCGCGGCAGGAAGGCTCCTCCGGGGCGGCG